CTATAAGGAGGCAATTAGGATTCTCCTCCCTATGTTTGTCGTATACTGAGCAAGGGACTTTTGATTGCCTTGACCCAAGTCCCGGATGATGCACCCTGGATCTAGTCTGAGCTTCGTGATTGTCGTTCCTCCTTGAACCAAAAAGGGATCGTTTTGGCTCCCCTCCACATCATCTCCCCTATCTTGAATCACCCTAACCGTTGTTAGGGGGATCTCGGGGCCCATTACTATTTCTCCCGACATTCCAACCCGTCTTCCTGAATGTTGGAGGATTTACGTCGCCACTGAGTGGCGCTCCAGTCATCTTCATCCAATTGATCCTCCAGTCTGAAATACTCGCCCGTCTGTTTATTCTTGTACCACTGCCCTCACTTTCTCCTCTCCTTCTCAACATATCTACCCAATCCTTTGGGATAACTTCTCTCCATTGTCTAACTCTCTCCTCCACTCTCCTCGCTCAGGCTCTCCCTAGTATCCTTCTGACACTTCTCTCCTCCCTCAATTCCAGCTTGTCGTCGTCCCACAAATCCCGGACCTGCGATACCCCCTTCTCCATCCACAGTCTCTCAAAGGAGCCTGCTTGAGCCGACGCCTGAAAGGGGGTTTCATTTGTCTATATGATGGCTACATTTTCAAAGAGTGGCTGGATAAGAACTTCCTCCCTGATATCGGGAGGCTTGATCTGAGGCGGTCGCAGCTTCTTCCATGCGATCCACCATGCCCTCCCAATCACCGACTTCGGGGGCCACTGCAGAAAGGAGGGAACTTGCAGACAAACCCATGCACCCTTTGGTCTGCTAAGGTGGAACTCCCGCTGCAATATATACATAATTAGAACTAACCAGTTGCGCTGCTCGGCCTGTGTAGCTATCTTGTAGATCCATTTGCCGATCAATGCCAGATTCTGCTTCTCTGGGTCCACTAACCCCAAGCCTCCTTGGGACCTTGCTTGGGTTATCTTGCCCCAAGCCACCTTAGATATAAACCGGCTCTGATCTTTTGCATCCGGCTTCCACAAATAGTGAGCGGCCTCTGCTCTTATCCTCACTGATGTGGCCCTGGAAATCAAAACTACTGCTGCCACGTACCATAGGAGTGAGGAGACCGATGCTGCAATCACTGGCGCTTTTCCCATCAATGAAATCCCCTTGGTGTCTCTACATCTCTGTAGTGTTGTCTTGGCTTGAACTACTGTTCGAAATTTACACCTGGACGCCAAAATAGCATTCGGATTCAAACTCTCTAATTCTCTTCATAGTCCAATCTTCTGCCAGGTCATACTCCCGGGGCAAAAAGTACATTGACTTGTCCCAGTTAACCTTTGTCTCCGAGAGGGATGAATATTGGGCAATGAGCTTCTTGGCCTCACCCATCGATTCCGGAGTTGCCTAAAAAATCAAGAGCAGGTTGTCCGCAATTGCCCCCACCACAACTTTCACTCCTTCCCGCAGTTGAAGCCCTCTTATACGTGGGGCTGCTCGAATGGCATTAAAAAGGACCTCCATCTGTACCACAAACAACATCGGGGCTAGGGGACAACCCTGTCTTAGCGATCTTGACAAATCGAAAGTCTAGGAGTGTCTCCCATTCACCAACACTGTTGTTGTTGAGGAACAATACAGCGTCGAGACCCATTGACGAAAGCAGCCCCCAAAGCCCATATGCTCGAGAGTGGCTAGCACGAACGACCAGTTCACCCGGTCATAGCCTAGCAGGCTCATAGGCCTTCTCCAAATCAAGCATTGCCTTTGCTACCTGACGTCTTTCTCTGCCCACCACCTCTTGTGGGTGGTGGCCCCATAGCGACCATAATGTTCTTTGCGATGGAACATCCTTTTACAAATGCACCCTGGTCTGCTCCTACAAGGCCCGGCATGAACGGTGCTAGCCGTCTTGCCAGCACTTTTGCTATAATTTTGTATGAAACATTTAATAGAGAGATTGACCTCCAATTTCGAATATTCCTTTTGTCGCCCTTCTTGTACAACAGAGTAATAACCCCTCTGCACATGTTCTCCGTCACGGTCCCTCCTTCAAGCACTCTGTTGTATATTTTTAATAACAATGAACGTGTCTGTTCCCAAGTCGCCTCATAGAACTCCGTCGGCCGCCCGTCGTCCCCCGGGGATTTCCTTTTAGCCATACTCCTCACCGCCTCCCCCAATTCCTGCAGGGTGAGAGGCCGGTCTAGGGATAGTCTCTGTTGGACCTCAAGCGCCTTATCTGTATGCTGCCACAGGTCCACCTTCTCTTTCATGGATTGCAGGGATTCCCTGGGCTGTCTTCGCGACGTCAAGATGTCCTGATAGTACAACGTAGCATATTCTGTCATTGTTACTGTATCCACCGCCACGTCCGCTTGAATGAGTGTTGTAGCTCCCAGATGACGTTGTGGGACCGGTGCGGGCATAGTCTTCGGAAGGCCTCTTTAGACATTCTGTCTAGCTGAGATATTCCTCTTTCCTGGGCTCGCCTCGCCCAACTCTCTTGTTACTTGATCTGGATCGCCTCCCATTTGGCCATCCATGTGTCCCTTCTTCGTTGACCGAGAAGGAGTCCCGTCCTAGCTGGGCCTCTGCTTCCTTAACCATTCGTCGACACTCCAGTTCCTCCTCTCTTCTCTCCTTAGCCAGTATGTGTGAGAAGGCGTCTAGAGCCCGAGTGACAGTCCTGAACCCCAACTGCAGCCACTCCTCCTCCGAATTAAACCAAACTTTAGTCTTTTCCCAGTCCACCCAGTGTCGTTTACATCATTCCACCACCTCCTTGTTTTTCAGGTTTTCTCTGTTTAATCCCTTCTCCCTTTGGAGGTTGAGCCCGAACTGGAAGTGGAGTGTGACAGGGTAGTGATAAGACATAGGTTCAGGATCAACTACCACACTAGATACTGCCTCTCTTGGTTCTCCTCTTGATAGGACCAGGTCTAGCCGTCTTCTTGCCGGTTCTTTGTCCTCGTTCCTTTGTGATGAGATCCACGTAAAACCTGAATCCTCTGCGTTGACCTGTCGAAACGTGTCAATAAGACCCTCAGCTTCAATAAACTGCTCCAGCAATACTGCATCCGACTTTCTGGGGAATTCATGTGCAGAATCCAGCCCAGGTTGAAGAACGGAATTGAAGTCTCCTGCCATCACCAAGTTGGCTGCCCCCGGAGTGAAATTTGGCAGGTCCCTGAAAAAGGATCGTCGTTCTGCAGGTATGGAAGGAGCATACACAGACATTAACGTCCATTCCTGCCCTCTCAGTCTGATTTTGACTCACACCCACTGCCCCCACACATCAAAATCGCTCTCCAAGACTTCTACATCCAGATTACGGTGTAGTAGAATGGTTGTACCTCCGTGGGTACCATCCGCTGGCACCCACCACCGTGGGCCTTTCCACCATCTTCCAAATCGGTCGACTTTTGACTCATCCAACTTGGTCTCCTGCAGGAAGACTATTTGAACTCGATTTTTGTGGATCCATGTCTTCAATTTGGCCTTCTTCTTACGGTCTGAAGAGTCTCCCAGACCCCGTACGTTCCAAGTTATCATCGTCAGCTTATCCATTTACAGAGGTAGGCGTGACAGACGATTGGGTTTGTTGTTCCTCCCCAAGGGACTTGCGACTTCCTTTCCTTCTCCGCCCTTATGTTTGCCCCTCTTCCTGTCGACTCTCCTAGGGCATGATTCACAGGTTTCGAAAGAGAGGTGTCAATGGCTTCTTGTCACTTGGCAGCGTCCTACAGAAGTCTGCTACGAGCTTTGCATTCACACTGCCCACGAGATGGATCTTCGCTGCTTCCTCCGATATGTCTGCGTCAAACCATTGAGATGGTATCCAGTGGATGCCCTGACCTTCAAGTGAATTTGCACAGTCCTGCGTGATACTGACATCCACGAACGCTAGGTGGATTTGCACACGGGCGTCTTCCCCAATATCCACAGTTTTTCGTACCACCCTTATCCCTAGGATAATTCTGAATGGAAAACACTACGCTGCAAATTTAGTTGTTGCCCCTCGTATGTGGTCCTTTGTTCCTGAAAAACTGTCTACGTGGACTGCCAGGAGGGCAAAGTCCCCGAGACGCGTCTTTCCCGCCAGAATCTTAATACCCTGCGGGGCCTGGGAAGTACATAATAGTAGCAGCACATAGTGGTGCCCTTGCCCCTGACCTGTTTGCTTTCCTCCTCCTCCTTTAGCTCCCCTTGGTTGGGTTGCCGGTTTCAATTTTGGGGGTGAAAGGATATTAAAGAAAATCGCTTCCCCTTTGCCAGCTTTCGCTTCCTTGGTAGGTTCGATGGTACCCTGCTGCCCTACTCTTCTTATCTTCACTAGGGCAAATAGGGAGGTTCTGCTACCTGGATCTTTCATGATCTGGTCCAGAGGTGGAACCTTTGTCGTACTAGTTCCAATCGTGTTTATCTTTCGGCAGCAGTTATGAAATAAATTATCCCCTCCTGGCCCTATCTCATCTCCGGCCTCTTTTTCCTCTCCTCTATTTTCGTAGTCGAACTCTGAGTTAATGTGCACAATGACGAACGATTGGTCAGGCCCCTGATCCCTCCTCATGCTACTACTCTGCTCAACTGTCCTCTGCACTGCCGGGTCGGAGGCTTCATCCCTCGTCTGCGCCCACAGGGTCAGTATCCTTCCTGCCCAGTTATGATTTGTCGATGGCAGGGCTAGTTGGAATGGTTGAATCTCCAAACTTGGATTGCTGTACAACCTTGTGGGTTGTGGTCCAGGTCCCGTTCCCCAAGAGGCCGGGGCTGTGAGTAATCGTCCCAAGCCCGTGCCCATGGACTGCGCCCCCTTCATGGGCGACGGAGGTAGCAGGGGTATCGGGCGTGGATCCCATCCACCCCCCCCTCCCCCTCCTCCATGTTGACTGATTCCCTCATGACCCGGTCTAATTGCCACCGCCCATGAATCTGTTCCCTGCTCCCGCAATCCCAACATTGCGTTCCGCCCTGCTTGGCCGCCCTCCGCATCCCAGGCTGCTCCACCTCCCCCCATACCGCTCCCACTGATCGCCATATCCCTCCCCCGGGGGTTGAGAGGTACAAAAGGCACCATTAAGGTCAGCTAAGACGAGTGAGTAGTTCCCCCTACACCAAGCCATCCACTTGCTGAGGGGGCACTCGTTGTTGCCTGAAGAGCGGCCTGTTTACCACGTTGTTGTCCTACGACGAGGGGGATAGGAGACATGGGAGGGGGGGCAGAGGCACCCCCTCCTCTCCCCCCTCCGCCTCTTCCTCCTCCTCCTCCTCCTCCTCCTCCTTCCGCCTGGGATCTTCCAGCCTCCGGGGCTCTTAACCCTCTCCCTTTTCCCCCTCTCTCTCTACTTCTTCCCCTTCCTCTCTTTGCCCGATCTTCTGGCATTGGTTCGTTAAAGCGTGGACATTCTGTTTCAAACTCATCATGGAACCAGCAAAGGCACTTGTTACAGAAAGTCGTGTCTTGGTTCCCGAACTGCACTTCCAGATGACACCCACTCGGCTTTCTCACCACTACCCACTCCATGAAGGTTTGCCGAATTTCTGGGGCGCAGTCAATCCTGATATTTCCTAGTCTTGGTTCTTCGGGACGTTTCCCCGCGGGAAGCATGACCAGGATCCAGCCCATGAGCCGCTCAATTGCATAGCGAAGTGAAGGGAGAGCTTCAAGCGGAACTCCCGACGCAATTGTCCGAAATTTCCCTGCTCTATCCGACTCCCTCATCTCGTCCAACTCGGACTTAGTCATCCAAGGATTAAATAACACCTTGATTGTGTCGTTCCTGGAGGGGATGCGGTCTTCCCCCTTCATAATCATCCATTGGGCGATCCTCTCCGACCTCGCTACGTCCAACATGACATTAGGGCCTTCCCCATGCGTGCGTTCCCTCTTCTGCGTGGGGTTCAACGTTGGGTCTGTATACCATGCGTCTTCGTACACCCTAATCAGCCTCTCCCTCTGGTTTACGCTTAGGTTAATGGCCGGCTCATCAAATATGACTATCACTGTCCTAGCCTTCAGCCAATTGACCGTTGCTGCATCTACTTCATCGCTAAGTGTTAGCACCCCAACACCATCGCCGATCTCAGTTGCTCCGAAATTGATATTCGATTTGGGAAAAATTCCGTCGTCGAAGCACATATCGAGCAGCGTCCTGATTCTGTCGCTGTCGCTCTCCACTTGGACGTTACCAGGTGGGATAATTGGCGGCCCTCCTCCCACTACTCCGGACCCTTCCAACGACGGAGGAGGGGGCACTGACAACGCTGATATGTTAGCCGCCATGCTTACAGGACACTCCTCCCTACTATCCCCCACCGGTCAAGTCGCTGCTCCTTTCCACGCTGGTCTACCCTAACTATTGACCGATTCCCCCCTTTAGCCCTATGGCCGCACTTCGATTCCGCATCAAGGACGTGTGCGCTACACGCGCCACGTCATTCCGCATGCATCACATCAAGCTTCGTCACCATTGACCATCTTACCCGGTCACTGCCCCGCCTCCATACCTCCCTCCTCCCGAGAAGGTTTGACCTGACCATCGCCAGGTAGGCTTCGGCAGAACCCCGCTGCCCGATCGCGTGCCGGGTTTCGGAGTCAGTGACACCGGTTCGCCCGAACCGGTAGCGTTCGGCGGAGCTCTCCTGCGCCCGTTGCAACACCCATCCAGGGACCCTTTTCCAATTTGAGACAAGGGCAGAAATGGCATCTTTGTGTTTGACGGGACAGAACTGGCCAGATGCAGACCGTGCAGATGGACATCTGCAAGTCCAGGGTCGGGTCCCACAACCAAGGATTCTTCTTTCATGGCCCTCGATTTTCATAATCTACGGCTAGAAACGAAGAATCGGGCCAAGTGGGACCTAGCCTCAGGCTATTCTGAAGAAAGAAGTTCTTGCATTTTTTTAAAGTTTTTTTTTATTTTACCTGTCAAATCTGGACACAGGACGGCCTTTCAGGCCTTTTTTTCATTGTCATTTTATATTTTTTAGTGTATTACGCGGAACCCCGTAGCAGCCACATCTGTGCTCTTCTTGCATTTCTCGACCCTGGGCGGGTTGTTCCTGTCCTTTTCCCGTTTTTATCGTGGTTTTCGCGGCTTGT